CTCTCTCTCTCTCTCAACCCAAAACACGCCTCTTAACTCCCAACACTTTCACTTTTATAAAAACCTTGTTAGGCCTACTGCCTACTCCTCCCAGGTAAATCTCGGAGAACGGCATGCTAGGCAACGCCTCCGCCAACTGTCAGCCTCAACGGAAGCAGAGGAAAGAAAAATTACCGAAAACGAGAAACAAACAGGAGGCGAAGTTCAACATTTCTCAGCTACTGAAACTCATGACTTAGATTTTAAACTTTGTATTACAAGACCCTAAACAAAAATGCAGTGAGTGAGAAAGATGCATTATAAGAGCAAAACAGTAAAGACAGAGGGGAATTTCTTTAGAAGAATATTTGTAAAAGTTCACTATCAAAATCTTGAAATTCCCTAGGCTTTAAAAATTGCTAGATCTACGTAAAGTAGCCCTTCCATGAAGGGAACACAGCATCAAACATGAAACAATATTGTTAACAAAAAGACATCAAATGAAATTAAAACCTCTTGGCTTTGGAATACAATTTACAATGCCCCCCCCCCACAATAAACATCATGTCTAAATTTTACAAGTCTACTGATACACACATCACACAATTAATTCATTAAAACATCCAAACCCTTTGAGGACTGCCAATGCTGATATTGCAACCAATTTACTCTCAGATCACTCAAGGTAAGTTCTTGATTTTAGACCAAATATAAAAAATTATTGCATAGATCTAAACTGTTGTCATACACACTAATTAATCCAACTTGATTCAAAAACTGTGATATCACAGGAATAAAATCGTATCATGGGTGGTTGGCAGTTGCTCTTGTGTGGTTTTCTCTTTCGTTATCTAGATCTACCCTCACTAGAAATACCTCTAAATCTTCCGCACTTATAATTTAAGACTAAACTGCGTCACAAGTGCAGTAAAACTCTTACTAAGCTGAACTTTATTCTCCAAGAATTTATGACAATAACAGTGATAAAAAGGCCCAAAAAATGAGTGATATAAGTTTGTCAAGATATCATGCACTAAAATAAACCCAGTGCTCTGATTTTTTAAGTCTTAAAAACATCTCCCACGACCTTTGAACTTTCAGCAACTAAATATTTGTCTACAATATTGAGTGGGAACCAATGCTCATAGGAAATGTTATTTTAAGAATTTCACAACCACAAAACTAGATCTAACTAGATCTAGGCATTATATATTCTATTTTTCATTCTTGAGAGGAAGAGGCTAGCCGTACTTATTCTTAATATGATGGCTAGACTGACCATTT